AGCAGGAATTTTCATCCTTCATGCTTTGGGTTTAAGTTAGTGTAGGAGGAGGTTTGTTGCTGATACTGTTACTAGGGACAAGCTGGGCAAAGGATCTTGGTAAAAGGGCTCAAGGGTACCTCCTGAGCCCACATCTGCCTTAATATGCTTCTCAGTCCAGCAACAGGGAGCAATGCCTCATGCTCCTGAGATGGCAACGTCCCAAGCACCTCAGGCTTGCTCGTAAGTTGGATGATGGACCAAGTGAGCACCCAGATCCATTGAGCAGAGCCACAGGAAATCCAGAAGGAAAAAACATATCGAGGGCTCTTCTAAGAGACCATTTTCAGCCCAGACAATCCCGGAGACACAATTTGCTGGAAGCACTTAATTTTTCCTGCCAAAGTCAGGACTTGGTCTAACTGTGCCCAATAATCTTTAACACTCCTTACCAGGGAGGTCTCACAGAGCAGCTTGCTTCCTCTCACCAGGTTGCCAATGGTTATGTGGAAGTATGTGTTGCCACTGCTCCAGTTGGAGATCTTGGTGAAGGGGTGAGTGATGAGAATATCCTGGTGGGAACACAAGAATGACTGTACCATGGCCTCATGGGAATAGCAGTGAGATGCAAGACTCTGGATCCTCCAGTGCTTGTGGAAGACTGCTATACAAGAAAGACCATGTGGCTGGTGGAAGTAACTAGTAGGAACTCATTTACTCCAGCTCCTGACCTAATGTCTGTGAAAGGATCAAGGAAGGAGTTTGAACCCTCCAGTTACAGGCCCCTAACAGCTGCTGCCAATCCATCTCCTGTTGAAAAAGGCTGGACTAGCTCTGTGCAACAGTGAATTTCTGCCTCCGGAAACTTTTCCGGCTATCCAGTCTTTCTAACTAGGCTTAATAAGTACTCCTGAAGTTCTGAACAACGTATCCTTTGGGATGACCTCTATGAGGGGTTGAGGAGTGGGCTCAGGAGCATCTGGTGAAGACTTCAGTTTTACTTACCTTGGTTTTGGGATCAATGAGGCTGACTCCATGCTTGTTGATGGCAATTAGAAGGATTTCTGGATAATTTGGCTCTGTAGTTTGCTATTGGAAATGAGATGAACTGGTTAGGGTATGCATCATGCAAAATCAGATCCCTTCTTATTTCCTCTCTCCCTGTCTTCTCCTGCCAGCATTTGGTGGCCCATTAACTGCTATCCAGTTTATCCTTTAAAGATAAACATAGAGTTCATTAAGGTATCAGCAATAGTCAGGGCTGTCTAGTGAAGTCCAGGTCTCCCAAATGCATGATAACCAGTGGATGAGTTGCTGACAGCATTCAGTTCTTTGCCATTGGCAAGGAAGAGCTGTGACAGGTTGCAAACCCCAGACATCTCATTTCCCCTCCAGGCCCTCTGCTCCTCCTCATGCCTGCTGCTGTGGACCTCCAGGCCAAGACGACACTGCTCTGTCCCCTTTTGACCTTTACATTCTTGCTGGAGAACCTTTCTCCCTGCCCTGTGCCATGAGGACCTCAATTTCTTCCATTGATGAGATAGGGCAGAGGGAATGGGGCTCGACTCCTGGCCCTGCCACAGATTTCTTGGCTCTCAAGTCAATTTTGGTGGAAAAATCACAGGCTATGATCAGATCTCTTATGCCATCTAAGATGGACATGAGAGAAAATAAGGTGCCCAATTTCAAGGAGTTGATGAGTAATTTCACCAATGTGTTTTCAGTCCAGGCTCACTGTGTGGTCATTGAGAAGAGGGAGTTGCAATAACATGTGCAGAGTACTTGGACGGACTTTATGACTCGGCTGTCTTTGATGGGAGCCTGGTGCCATGGTGGGTGGTCTGGATTTGGTTCGTGGTGCGTGTAGACACATTCCTTGGAAAACTGCACATTCCCCTTTGCCTTGGCAAAACAGAGAATGGCTCTTGGCTCTTCAGCAGCACAGCTACGAGTACAGACCCAATGGCTGAGATATGCTGAAGCTCTGCAATGCCTCTGTCTGGGTAAAGAGGCAGGGGCCCCCTCAATAGGGGGATAG